CACTTTAGCCCCACTTCAGCGGCTGCCCCAGGAATAGGGAAGGTGTTCTTGGTAGGGAATGGGTGGATTTCTCATTGCTGGAGGAGGGGAGGTGGGAGGTGCTAACACTGCCCTTTCCAAGCTGCCCATCTGCCCTTCTAACCTGTCCCATATTCTCAACAGTGGGAAGTGCCCTTGAAGAAGAGGTAAGAGTTAGGTTTTTTAAAAAATCCTTTCATGCTTCTGGACATGGTATAATCCCAGGAGCTGAGGAGCTGAAGCAGGAAGATGGAAAGTTCAAGGCCAGCTTAGGCTACATAGCAAGACTCTGTCTCAAAAAAAAAAAAAAAAAACACCTTTTTGTAGGCAAGCATTAGCACCCTTATTTTACTAATCACAAATTGAGAATCAGGACCACTCGCCTAAGGTCACACAAGTGGAAAGGAGGCCAGGTGAGAGAAACAGTAGGGGGTTAATGAACCCTAACCATTCATTCATTCATTCAACAGAATTTTACGTGCCCCCAGCAGTGATCTTGATGCTGGAAATACTGTGGTTTCCCCTTCCTTCTAGGCATTCACGTTCTAGGTGAGCATGGAGTGAGAGAAACAGAAGACTGAGTGAGGGAAGGATTAAGAACCAGCAGAAAGTGTAAAGCAGAGAAGGGAAATGGGCAAGAGAGAGGAGTAGCCAAGTGTGGGGAGGTACTTGTTTCAGGGGGGATATGGGGCGTTTTCTTATAGGGAAAATGGGGCGGTCTGGATGGAGAAGCCAGTCTTGCGTAGAGCTGGAAGGCATCTTTAAGCAGAGGTGCCAAGACAACAGGGCTCACACAGGTCCTAAAGCTGAAAGAGAATAGACGGGAGCCGTCAGCCTGCCTTCTGTGACCTGCAGTGAGCTTCCTCAAACTGTTTGAAAGCCTCTTCTTTGGCTTTAAATTTTCAAAATCCGGAGAACTCTAGAGAAAGTACACAGGTCCCCCAGCTGGACAACGGTGGAGCCAGTTCCCAACTCCAAGCCATCAGGCTGCCCTGGGGTCAGGACAGCTCTGAGCTGACCTCAGGAACAGACAAGGATGTCTGGGGCCCCAAGTGCCCCCTATCTCCCTCAAGAGGGTACTAAAGCAGGGTGGGTGGTGCCAGAGTCCAGCCTACTGCACATCACAGAGAAGAGAAGGATGGATGGTAAGGATCCAGCTGGCAAAGCCGTCAGGGATTTGGAGATGCCGTGGCCCGACACTCTGCCTAGCTGGATCCCTGGAAGGAGAGCGCTGTCCCCAGGAGGCCTGAGGATGGGTGGGCCAGGGCTGAGGGGGGATAAAGTGCTCCGAATCAGAGGCTCCAGTTGGGGGCCGTTCTCGTCATCCATGCGATTGTTCTGCTTATTTTCTTCTTTGCTACACTCTACCTCCACCTCATGGTCCCTGGGTGGAGCTAATTTTCTACAGGGACAAAGGACTGAGTCAGGAGCTGTCGCAGGCAAGGGTGTAGGAGTTAGGGTGGAACATGACCCTGGAACCAGAGAAACCTGGGTTCGAATTCCAGCCCTGCACTTATCAGCAAGTGACTCACTCCTGAAGTTTCAGTTTCTGGATCTTTACGAAGCAGGAAACAATAACAGCATCTCCAGGTAGAGGAGAGGAGTGGGCAGGTGGGCGCCGCAGGTGTCTGAGGTCAGGTGTCGGCCCTGGTCCTCTCCTGGGGGAGCAGGAAGTTAGCGCCACGCCCTGCACTTGGCCTCCCTCACCCAGGTGTCTGTGAGACATGTGGGTGGAGAGCAGATGTCCCTGGAGTCTCTCCCTCCTTTCTGTGTCTTGTTCGGTTTAAATCATACAGAATCGGTTCAGAACAAGAACTCAGGGTGGGAGCATCTCCCCGACCCCAACCAAGTCCTGGCTGCCTGAGGCCTCACGTGTCCACCCTGCCTCCTGGTCCACATCTTTGCCTATTTGAGACCCGTTCATTCACACAACAACCACTGATCACCCACAAAGCACCAGGCCTGTGCCAGGTGACCAGGTGGTCATGCAGGGAATTGTTGCCCTGCACCTGAGCCCTTCTGGCCTTCCCCGTGAGCATATCTCAGTCCTATGCCTGGGCTTGCAGCTCTATCAACAACCCCAACATGCTGATTCCATCAGCTACTCACCCTCCAGGGAACCTGACTCTGTCCCCTCTAGTGGGTAAATAAGTCCCAAGGAACCTAAACCAGCCAAGTCACTCCCATTGTCTTGGCTCACAGTTGCTTTAGGGTGGCCAGTCCCAAGGGGACCTCTGCCATGCAGTGCTACCTAGACACAGGAATAGACAGTGTCTTCATTGGACACTCAGCCTTGCTTGAGGGCCGGAGCCATGGCTGCCATCTTGGAGCCATGATCCCACCCCACCTATGTGGGCAAAGCTAGGACAGTGAGGGAGGGCCCATCCAGGGGTGTTGAGTGTCCAGTTGAGGACTTCACACATGCTAGGCAAGTGCTCCACCACTGAGCTACAGCCTCAGCCCTTACCTGGAAGCTCCTGGACCAGTACAAAGGAGGGTGTGATACAGGAGCAGAAGGGAAAGAGCCTAGGGTAGAAGCCTCCAACTGGGTCTTTTGTTGGTTTGGGGGCCTTGGGAGGTTCTGTCCTCTCTCTGAGCCTCAGATCCCTCCAGGATAACATGAGGGCAATAATGCCCCTGCCATCCAACACTGAGATTAAGGGAGGCATTGCACAGAGCTATAGGGAGCTCTGCTGGACAAGTGGGGCTCCAAGCTCCTGATAAGTGCAAGCTGTTCCTGGGAATCCAACAGAGAGAGGGACTGGATGGGAAGAGGGGACATCACAGAGCATTAATGAGCCCATTCTCCCCTCGGAGTGACTTGAAATCTGATCACCAGGTACCAAGGGCCACCACAGAGCTGAATGGAAAAAGAGCCACCATGGGCCAGGCACTGTCCTCAGCGTTCACTCACACTGATCTTATTGCACCCTTACTCCTCCTGACCTCTGCTTGTTTTCTTGTTTTGTCTGGATCTTGTCCGCGAGGAGACAGATTCCTTAGGTAAGGTGCATAAGGTTAGGCGGTGGTATAAGAGGAAACATTTTTTTAAAATAGACCTTTGTTTTTTTAAATAGCTGCCTTAGGTTGACAGCAAGATTTAGTGGAAAATACAGACGTTTCTCTACTCCGTCCCTACCCACGCGCACGTCCTCGCAATAACTGTCCCTCACCACAGCGGGACATTGAGTGGGACTCGGAACCCGGAGCCCGTAGTTCTTCATTCTTCCCACATTGCCTTACTGGAGCCAGTGGGCTTGGGGAGAACTCCTCCACCAGTGCCTGCACAGAGCTGTGTCACCGCCTGGAGAGTGTGGGTGGCCCCACATGCCCAAGTCCTGTGGCTGGAAGCAGAGCTATTATGTATGAGCGACAGATCAGGGATCCTCATGTGTGAAAAGGATATTTGTGTGAAATGCGTCTCCTGGAAGCAGAGCCTGAGACAAGGGTTCTTGTGCAAGGGCTTTATTGAAAGAGTGCTCTCCGGGAAAACCTGTACAGGAACCAGGAGAACAGGCCAGGCCAGGCCAGGGGATGGGATGAGCGAAGAGGTGGTTCCAGAAGTCTCTGGCATGTCCTAACACCTTGGTCCAAGAGTGACTCTGGGATGGTGTACCACCCAGAGAGTCCTGCACACAGGCAAGGGAGCTGGGCACTTATTCCCTCTGTAGTGCTGGACTTTCCTGGTCACCTGTCACAGGTGGCATCCTGGCCCGTGGGAGGGGGTTGAGGGCAAGGTAGCTCTCAGGAGGTAGGAAAACCTATAAGAGGGAGGCAGATTGGAGCACTCAGCAGCCAAGGCCTGGCCTTACTGGGAAAGGGGAGCCTGACTCAGGAAATCTGGGTGGGTATAAATATCTGTTCCACCACCACCCCCATTATTGGCTCATTTGATCCATAGCTTTAACTGAGCATCTAGTATGTGACATGAGGCAGACATGGCCTCTATCCTCAGGGAGCTACAGTCTAGTTGGGGGAGAGGGGGAAGTCACATTTACCACTTGTGGCAAAGCTCGGTAAAGGCAGCCCTGGGAAGTGCTGGGGACCTCAGAGGAGGGGGTGCACCCTCTGAGCCGGGAAGTAGGGATCAGCTGGGGAGATGTCTCTGCAGGAGGTACCCTGAGCATACACCAGAGGATAGGGAAAAAAAGACCAGACCCTGGTACCTGGAGCAACAAGAGCATTGGGGTCCCCCCACCCTCTGCTCAGGGCTGTCCATGGAGCCCCTGCTTGGTTCTGTGGCTTTCTTGAGCACTAAGGTATAACTGAGCCTGAGACAGGTCTGGGCCCACCCAGCAGGGACCTCAGAGCCGCGTCTGGGAGAGGGACACAGCAGCAGATGGCAGGATCCAAACGCTTTGAGGGGCTTTATCCTGGGGCAGTGGAGGACCTTGGGATTTTAAGAGAGAGACCCAGCAGAAAGCCCAAGGCCAGCTTTTACAGCAACCACTCAGGGTGCAGCTGGGAAAGCCCTGGAGGGAGTGAGAAGGGGCCACACAGAGGACCTGCCACACCTCCCCCGGGACCCCACCACACTCACAGGTACACACTTCGGCCCCAGTGTCACTCCTGAAGCTCCCAGCCTTGGCTTTCCCCAAGATCCAACTGCTGCCCTGGCTGGGGTGGGGCTGGGGATCCGGAGCAACAGGGTGCAGGCAAGGCCAGACTCCCTTCCGGGGTGGTGTTGGCCTTGAAAGCTGGACTGGTCAGGTAGGATGTTGCAATACTATAGGACTTCAAAGCTCAAGATGTCCTGGAACAGGGTAGGGGTTTTGGTGACAGATGCAGCAAACGTCTCCTAGCCTGGGGCCTATGGGTTCGACACAGCTATATTCTAGTAAAAAATGTTTTTATTTTGTCGAGCATGATGGTGCACACCTATAATCTCAGCACTCAGGAGGCTGAGGCAGGAGGACTGCCATGAGTTCCACGCCAGCCTCGGCTATATAGTGAGACACTGTTTCAAAACTCAATCAATCGGGGCTGGGGATTTAGCTCAGTGGCACAGCGCCTGCCTGGCAAGCACAAGGTCGTGAGTTCGGTTCCCGGTACCGGAAAAAAAAACAAAACAAAACAAAACAAAAAAATCAATCAACCAATCAATAAAAATGAAAAGGAAGTTTCGTTACTTACACACATTACCTATATTATGTATTTTGTGTGCAACCTAGGGCAGCTCGATTCAATTAGGGAGCCCCAGAAAAGTCAGGTTGGCAGGGCCCGTGCACAGAGGAGCCACACCCTTGCATTTGGGCCTCCAGTAGAACCGCAGTTTCTTCTGGTAGGTGTCTAGGCTGTTCTTCAGGCAGAAGGCCACCGCCTTGTCGCAGGCACACAGCTGTCGCTCGCACCAGCTCCCCTTGTCAGCTGTGGGTGGAGGAGGGGCAGCTCAGTGTCCATCCCCTCCCAGGAGAGCAGATGCGGAACTAGGGTCTCTGCAGGTGCTGCAGCCCCTTCTCACCAACTTCGATTCTACCTGCACGGCCGAGGGCACGGACTTGAGTGACCTCCCTGTGTGCCCTGGCTTCCCTACTTCCCGCACAGCTGGTCCTGGCGGGAGAGGACAGAATAAAACGTACAGGTGTGGGGGCAGGGGTTACAGAAAAGCAGAATGAAGACTCAACATGCACCAGATGTAAGCAGGATGCGTGGCTACACGATCCTAAGCGGCTGGCAAGGAGCCACCAGAACTGAGATCTGGAGAAGCTGCACCTTCCAGGGAAAGCTGAGAGACAAACATTCCAGGCCAGGAACAGTGTGTTCCTGGCAGACCAGCAGGAGGCCTGCCTGCTTCAGCTTCCTTATCAGTAAGCATAATTCATGATAGCAGCTGCTCAGAAGGCTCAGATAAGAATTAAAGCAAGAAGGCAAAGTACTTAGCATGCAGTAAGGGCTCAGCGAATGCTAGATGTTGTTCTTAGGTCCTCAGGGAACAGTGTCTGGTGTGACAAGCCCTTTGCTATCTTTCTCCAAGCTGGGAATGCTGCACACCCAGGGGCCAGACGACCTGGGAGTCAGGCCAGAGACTGCTGTTTGCAGCTGTATGAGCTGGGAAAACATTTCCTTGCTCCAGTATGGGTTTTCTTTTCTGTAAAAATGGAGAGGATCAAGGTCTCACTGCCTCCTCACTGGGCTGTTACGGAGATCAGTAGAGGCGGAAGGAGTGACGGTAACATAGCGAGCCTGTGTGACCTGCTGGTCTCATTTCAGTTCTTGGAGGAACTTTAGATTAGAGGTGAGGATACCGAGGGGCCGGGAGGTGAAGGAATGGGCTTATGGTCGCATGAGCTGGTCAGTGCTGGGCCTCACCTCCCGATGCCAAAAGAGTCAAACTTCCCCTTGGACCTTCCCATACCGCCACGCCCACTCCTGCCCCTCGTCCACGCCCCTTTTGCTGCCGCTGGACACAGGACAAGAACAGAGATTGAGTCACTTATGCACTGTCACTCAGCCTATAAAGGCAGTGAGGACCAGAACTCCCTTCCTGGGCCTCCAGCTCCAGCTCTGAGGTCCGGGCACTCACAGCACTGGATGTCTCCCAAGGAAAAGGTGTATTTGTAGTGATCTGTCCGGGTCTTGCATCGATGGAGCCTCAGATGGAAGTAGCAGCAATCATGTTCTTGGCAGCACCTGGCAGGACAGGACAGTGGGTGGAGCAGCTGCAAGAGTCCTTAGCCGACTGGGATTTCTGGCTGCTGCTTCTGTGTGCCCACCTTGGAAGAGCCAAGCCCTTCAGGGCTCTGATCTTCCTTGGGCTCATAATAGCTGACATTGATCGAGTGCTTCCAATGTACCAAGTCCCCACTTTATCTACAAATATTCTCTTAATCCTCATGACCACCCCATGACAGAGGCACTGGTACACAGACTCAGGGAGATCAAGCCACTTGCCAAGATCACATGGCTTCTAAGTGGTAGATCAGGGCAATGGCACCAGGCCTGGCTGGCCTCTAGCATAACTCAGATGAGATACGGGTAAAAGAAGTGAAGCTTTTGAAAATAAAGTGCAGAGTCAGTGAGGAGTATGGGGGCATTGTAGCTAGATGAGGGTGTGGGAGTGCGAGGGATCGGGCCTTCAGAGGCTCTGGGGAAGCTTCTGGAAGGCCAGCTCCAGGAGGGTCAGAACTTGACCCTTCCAAGCACATAGTACATGCTGGATGAAAGGAATTCACAAAATGTATCAATGCTGGAGAAGGAAGAAAAAAGTTCCAGGGTAAGATTGCTGTGTGCCAGCCTAGGCAAGGGATTACCGATCTGTGGCATCTTTGGGCTGGCCTCTGCCACCAAATCCACAGTGACAGCCGTAGGGCCAGTAGTTGAAGAAGGGGAGTTTCCCGGTCACTTGCCAGATCATCTTGTTCAGGTTCAGGATCCCTCCTTGGGTTGGAGTCACACCTGGAAAGCAGCAATGAGTAGCATAAGAATGCCAGGGGCCACGGGGCAGGCACCTCTGCTGTGCCCGGACCACATGAGTGACCTTGAATGAGGACGGTAGCAGAATAACAATGACTACCCTTGCTGCTACATAGTGAGGCGGAAGGCACAGCTCAGCGGTAGAGCACAGGCTTAGCACACACCAGGCCCCAGCACCAAAGCAATAAAAACAAAATATATATGCAATGACTTATTGAGTGCTTACTATACATCTCTTGGTGTATTAATTTATTGACCCCACCCCAGGAGAGAAATATTATTTGTACATAAATAAATTTTGTGGCAAAGATGGTATTTTTTTTTGGCAAAGACCATACAAAGGCTTCCATGTACCCTCATCCAGTTTTTTCCAATATTGTCATCTTCTATAATTATGATGCCTTGGTTAAAATTATATAATAAGTACCTTTTAGGGGAGGAGGATACCATTTAACTTTTCTGCTCAGGGAATAGGACTCAGGGGTGCTTTTACCACTGACCTACATCCCTCCCCAGCCTTTTTTATTTATTTACTTATTTGTTTGTTTATATTTATTTATTTTGAGAGACAGCCTCCTGAAATTGCCCAGGTTGGCCTTGAACATGAGATCTTCCTGCCTCGGCCTCCCTAGTGGCTGAGATTACAGGCATACACTGCCATGCACAGCTGTTAATTCCTATTTTACAGATGAGCAGAGTCAGGCTCAGTAAGTTGTTCAAGGTCATGGTGAACAGTAAATGGAGCTAGAATTGAACCCAAGGCAGTCTGGCTCCATTCTGTGTCTGAACACTGACTTCCCACTCACAGTAGGAAGAAAAGCCCCGACTCACTCTTCTCCCCGCACGCCTCCCTGCAGCCCCTGGAGAAATCGGAGCATTAAGAGCATGCGCGGCTCTCCTGAGAAGCAGTGTGATCTAGAAATCAATGATTTTCATTTGAGGCATAATAGCTTGTGGCTAGAATCAATCATAAGGGGAATCTATGTAATTGGGGTAGAGGAATGCATTATGTTGAGTTAGGAGAAATAAAATACATTAAGTCAATCAATTCCGGGAAAAGGTGGGAGGAAACAGACAAGAGGACGGAAGTGTGCCACTCGGAGAGATTCTTCAAGAACACGGGGAGCGCATGCGCAGATGAAGCTCAGTCGCAGGGAGATGGGGCCGCAACCCCATTTGGGTGACGACCCTCATTTATGGTCCTCCCCATTGGCCCTTGGGTAAATGAGGGTACTGTGAAACTCTGGGAGCACACGGAGTAAGCAGTGCACGGGGAGTGAGCCCCATATAGGAGAGGTTAAAGTAGGAAGAGGGGCTGGGAAGATCTCATGCTGTGGACAACCAGTGAGATCAAGCAGGTGGCCTTGGGCTGCAACCGGAAGTGGCTGGCCTGTTGCACTCTCAGTGTGTGGGCGGCCACACTGCCACTCCTGTTTGACACCTCGGCTCTAGCTGAATGAGATATTAAAGAGAAATCTTGCTAAGCTCTATCTGTTCCGATAAATGACCTCAGGCCCTCTGGAAACATCCGGGATTCCCGGCTGGAATTCCTAGATTCCTGGATTGCATGATAAGGAACCCCAACACAAAAAGAGTTAGAACCCCCATCTTGGGGACCAACCAAACACCCGGATTCAGAGTCTTGCCTTTGTCCATGTTGTACTGGCCATTTTTCTTTTCTTCCCCCAAACGACTCCTTGTAATTTGGACTCACAGAGATCCGTTAACCTCTCCCCTTAGTGGAACGGCTCAGCTCTGCCCTGCCAAACAGGCAATGTGTTCAGCTTTGATTCTGAATGCTTCGCGGGGGTGGAAGGAGCCCTCATTTCTCATAATTTTATGGTGAGGTCAACTCAGCCTGAGAAATGGAGCTCATGCTATGCCAGTGGGGGCTTTGGGGACCTGGCTTGCCCTGTCAGCAACTCCCGTCTTGGTAGCCCGGGGCAGAGTGGCAGCCGCGGTGTTGCTACTATCCTTGCGCACGTGCCGTGTGTTACGCTATTAATGACTTCCTCCCACTTGCGCTTGCTCAACACTTGGTATCTATTGTCCCATTAAGTCCCTCTAACAACCCTGTGAAGAGGACGCTATGGTACCTGTTTTGCAGATGAGGATACGAAGAGGTTGGGTGGCTTGGCCAACGTCATGCTGCCAGGAAATGGGTTCGTGTATGAATTTTCTCTCTCAACTACATCGGCTCTTCTCCCTCCACCCTCAGGGTGTCTACTCCTGAGCTCTATCCCCACCCCGTTTTCTTTTTTATTCTAAGACATGTTTCTCCAAAGTTTCTTAGGCAGTACACGAACTTGAGATCCTTCTGCCTCAGCCTCTCAGGTGCTAGGATTACAGGCATGTGCCTACCTACTCTTGTGGATCTTCATGTGTGAGAAATGGATTTATGGAGCGTGGTTGCAAGTTTCATAATGGTTTTCACTTTAACCTCAGAGGCGTTTGAACAATTTGGGAGCTGCGTGACGACATAAAATCACTTTTAAAAAATACAAGACCTTTCTAAAATAGCATAATTTAAGATGGATCAAGAAAAAAAAGGACAATTTTCCAGCGGGTACATTTTTGCATTTGATCTGCTAAATACTGAATAGAAACTGTCCCCCAGCTCTCCTTCCTGCCACAGGTTAAGGGAATCCTCTTCCCAGGTTCAGTGATAACGAACTTCAAAAGACTCTAAAGATTGCTATTATTCCATCAAAGCTGGGGACAGGGGGATCCCATTTCTGTAGCACCATCACCCCGGGTGTAGCACACCACACAGGTTGGCCGCCCACACCTCTCTAGGCTGAAGCTGCTTTCTCAAGGTCAGTAGCCAGGTATGGCTCCTTGCAGGGTGTGGAAGGGTTGGGGACTGGGGCGCTAGGGGTCTAGGGAGAAGAGCAGTGATGTCGAACCTTTTAGACCTCTCAATGCTAACATACAGCCAGCTGCAACACGCGTGTCACCACCACGGGATAGGGCCTGCCCGCATCCCTCCTTCTTTGCTAACCGTGCATCCAGTCCCCACTCACCAGCCATCACCAGCAGTACACACAGCAGGACAAGTTCCATGATGCCAACAGGAGCAATGCAGGCAGCTCTAGAGGTCCCCTTCCACCGAGGCAGCCCCTTATATCAGTCCTCCCCAGACTACTCCTCCTCACTCCAGCTCCAGCAGAAGTAACTAACAAGGCTGCTACTTCCTCTTTTCTGGGGCTGGGAAGTATCTGGGCTTTTTTTCCCCCTTGTTGACAAAAAAATATCCAGTGCAGAAGATTTGGAAAACATAAGCAACAAGAAATTCAGAATCACTTGTGACTCTGTTAAACACCATGAACATCTTGATGTATGTCCTTCTGGTCTTATTGTCTATCCATCCATCTACCTACCTATCTGTTTACTCTCTGTAATGCATGCCCAAAAGTGTACACAGGCACACACACACACACACACACACACACACACACGTAGACTGTCTTTTTCACTTACTGATAAAAGCTGAATTTATTTTTTATTCTTTTGTAGTAATGTTTTCAAAGGCAGCCCCAACTGTACAGCTATAGTTTATTTAATGAATCCCTTATTGATGGACACATAGGTTGTTTCCTGTGTTTTACCATCCTAGTGCAGTGGAAGAGGAGACCTCTCAGTTCACGGGCAGAATGGTGTCCTCACTCATACTGGTTGAGGTAAGGCATACACACAACCGGAAGGCAAATGATGTGTGCTGACAACGAGCCTACGGGACGTCTGCCCCGGATTACGTGTGAGAATCCTACTGAGACAAATGGGGAGGGCCCAGCCCAACAAAGGTGGAGGTGCAGCTGGCAGGACACACTTGACAGGCGTGGCACAGAGACGCCAGGCTCGAGGACTCCACGGTGACCTTGCTCATGGACAGCAGAAGGGGGCACTTTGATGTTATCAATGGCTCTTCAATGACGCAATTTCCAGGCTGACCTCATTGCTTCTGCCTAATCAGCTCACCCCCAAAACTGTCACTGCTGGAGGTTTATTATCTCTGATTCTCTCTCGCGCTCGCTCGCTTGCTTTTTCTCTTTAAAATCCTTTCACCTTTGTTCCTTGACTCAACCAGCTGACCACCTCATATATATATATGAGAAGATAGTTTTTTCCCACCTCATATTTCTTTGTTACATTTCCTCCAGGATACCCTACAGTCATCCTCTTATACTGGCCCCAACAGTGTTTTACCCTAAAAGCCACATTTTTTGCTTGTTTGTTTTGAGACAGGGTCTCTATAGTCCAGATTGACCTGAAATTTGCAATCCTGCCTCAGCCCCACCGAGTTCTGGGATTACAGATATGTACCACGATACCCAGCTAAAAATCATCTTCTAGTCTGAGACCTTGATGCATTGTGTGGGGCTACCTCCCCCTCCTGTGTATGCCTTGGTCGAGAGCAAAAGTAGGCAGAACCACAAGCTCTTTGTTGATTCCAGAACGTTCTTCCTAGTGGGAGAGGATGTTTTAATGGTGCAAGGAGGCCTTAAAAACTCCAGCTACATAGTTGTCCCAGACATTTCTAATAGGCCCAGGGCACATCTAGCAGGATGAGTTTGGAATCAGAGACACCTGTTTCAAATTCTGTCATCTTTCTTATTAGCTGTGGGACCCTGGGAAAAATCTCTCCATCTCTACAAGCCTTGGTGTCCTCTGCAAAATGAAGCCACCTCCCGTCCCATTCTCTGCTGAAAGGTTGGGAGATAACACACACAGGCCTTCTCATCTAGCCTCCTTCAGGGACTGATGCTGTTACAGCAACATGATAGTGTTACCTGGAGGTTCGGAGAACTGGAGAGGAAGGATTCAAACCCAGACTGCCTGGTGTGGGAACCAGGTCCTTCCAATGAAGTGTTCAACCTGGAGCGAAAGGCTTAGCTCTGCCAGTGCTTCTTGCTCGTGTGTAAGACAAGGTGAGCATGGCATGGCTTTATGGATCATTATGAGGATCAGGGGAGCGGATGTCAGCAATGATTTGGAAATGGATGAGTGTGCCTTCCAAGGGCTCATGTGTTGGGAGCCTAGTCCTCAGTGTGGAGTGCTAAGAGATAGACTCCTTCCTGCCCCCTATGGCTTCCTTTCTCATCATGGGATCTCTCCCTCTCATATGATGCCATTGTCATGGTAACCAGCCAAGGAGCCCTCAGGAGAGGCAGAACCCATGAGGCCACCAATCTTGGACTTCTAGCCTCTAAAATCCTTTTTCTTTCCAAAGTATCCAATCTTAGATATTTGTTATAGTAATAGAAAATGCACTAATGCAATATATCAACAGGGCTTGGTCCACAGTTAGGGATCAACAAATGGTAGATGGGGTCACTTCTCTCATCAGCAGTGTCCTTGTTGCCCTCACCATTGCTGCCCACAAGAAAAATAAATAGCTAGCCTTTTCTTCTGCATCACCTAACCCGCTGCTGATCCTATCCACTGTATATTTCACCTCTGTGTTTTTCTTCTCTCCATAAATTTCATCCGAGTCTTTTTTTAATGTCTTCTATCCTTTTCAACATGCTCAAGTTTTCCTTTATCTTCTTAAACATACCAGATACCGTTATGTCTTTCAATGTCTTTTTCTATCCTCTAGGCCATTCCTGAGTCTTTCACTATTATTTGATGGTTTCTTTAGGGCAGAGTTCCAGAAGCGAAATTGCTGGGTCAGAAAGTACAAAGGTTTTAAGCCTTTTCCATTCTGCAGAAGTCAATGTGGATATAGGTTTTCCATCCACACGCCCTATACACACCCCAGCCTTTTGCTCGTCTGCAGTATCCAAGTGCCTTTAAGCTGGGGCATTTCTTGAGAGTTGTCAGAAAGTCTATGTTTTTACTTCCTGCTCACTGCTGGAAAACACCTTGCCGATACTGTTCAGGCTCCATCCAGCACACTTTCCAGTAGGGGGGTTAGGGAAGGAGCAAGAGGAAATTTAGATGCTGGGGAGATAATTCCATTATAATAGTTACCATTGTCTGGGCTTTCTCATGTGTCGGGCACTGGGTGTTATCTCATTTAATTTTCACAACCACACCAGCAAGGAGAGAATGCTATTCTCATTTTACAGATGGGCAAACTGAGGCTCAGAAAGGTTACAAATTTGTGCAGGGTCCCACAGCATGTATCTGGCAGAATTGAGGTTAGCACCTTTGCTGCATGTGAAGCAAAGGTCTTACACGCCTCATACATGTGTGAAGTAAGTGGGCACTGCCCTAATTCCCACATCACAGATGAGTCACAGATGAGTGGTATGCAGGAGCTCCCTGATACCTGTTCCCCATCCTCCCAAAGAGCCTGGACACCTGAACCTTGCAAGCATAAGGACGTGAAAGAGAATGACTGGAGGGGAGAGGAAAAAGAAAGAAGGAAGAGGTAAAAAATATGTATATGTATACACAGGATAGCTAGAATAATTGTACTACTAATATCTGTTGGCTTATTGAAAGGAACTGGTAATGTGTATTTGTTTGATCAATCTTGCATGCCTATATCCGGTTATATGTGCAACCATTTTGAAGATGGCATTATGTAATATAACAACCATTGTTAATATCCTATCACGATGCTTTGAAATTCTGTATCATTTTTATTGTTCTCTATGCTGTTTTGTTTATGTATTTGTTTTTGTCATTTTGGGTATTTTTTCTTTTCTCTTTAAAATGAAAAACAAAATTTATATGTATATACAAGGATAGCTGGGATAGGTGTATTGTTGATGTCTGTGGTTTATTGAAAGGAACAGTCAGTGCTTAAAATTTTTTTTCTTGGGGCTGGGGATTTAACTCAGGCAAAGCGCCTGCCTGGCAAGCGCAAGGTCGGGAGTTCGGTCCCTGGTACCAGAGAAAAACCAAAAAAAAAAAAAAAATTTTCTTTCTTGACATATTTTGCACACTTGAATCTGGTGATCAGAATGACTGATCTGAAAACAAAAGTATGCAGTATAAGAACCATCTTGTTGAACTCCTACCATCTTGTATGGTGAAGCTCTGCATCATTTCCAATATTTTTTTTATTACTTCTTACTGTCTTTGATTGTTTGACCAATCTTACATTCTTATGTCTGGTGGACTGAGCAACTTCACTGACTATAATAGCATGTAATGTAGCAACCATTTTTAATTCCTGTCATTTTGTTCTGAAACCCTGTATCATTTTTTTTGTTTTTGCTTTGTTTTGATTTTGTCTTCATTGTTAGGTTTTTTTCAATTTTTAAAATAAAAAAAAAGAAAGAGAATGACTGTAAGAGAGATTACATCATGATGAGGTTCCCAAACAGCCCACAAGTCAGAACAGTGATCACCCGTGGATGTACGTGGTGATTGCAGCTCACTGGGGGGAGGGGGTGCCTCAGGAGGTGCAGCTGTTCTGTGCCCCGGTTACATGGCCCATGTTCATGCCATGCAAACGCAGCCAGCTGTTTGCTTATGGTTTGGGCATGTCCCTGTATGTATGTTATACTTCAACACATATGAAAGATAACAACGATGATGATGTTGATTAAAAACAGGTGCTCAATAAATGCATGACGCCTGATGACTTCTTCCAGATGGAAAGCCTAGGGTTCTGACTGGTCAAGAGGTTGAGCAAGTTGACCTCTCCTGCAGCCCAGGCTCAGAGATTCTTGTTTCTAAGTGACAGTTGGCCAATGGCCTGGGGAATTTCCACTATGGCCTCTCAGTTCATTCAGGATGACCCACGAAAGGTCTTGCAGAATCACTTGAACTCGCCATGACCAGAAGCTTCCAGATATAATTGTTGCTAGATAGTTCTTGCTTGTTTTCAGGCCTGGCCCAGTCCCCTGCTGTCTTTTTAAGGCTGTATCAGACTGGGAGGCAGCCACGCCTGGCATCAACAGGAGACCTAGAGTCAGACTGACCTACCACCAGCCCTGACTTCCCTCTGACAACTGGAGTGGAGAAAAGTTATTACTATACAGCTCATAGGGTTGTTATAAGAATTCCAAGACACAGGGCATGCACAGTTCTAGGCAATGTGTCCTGTATAGAGCAAACTCCCAGGAATGATGGCTGGTGTGTTATTACTGTCTGCTTATGGGACATACAGAGCACACTTCCAAGAAATCCCATGGAAGAATGTACAAATTCTATGCCATTCTGTAGAAGGGAGTTGACCACCCCCAGAATTTTGGTA